TCTGTCAGCTGGGATGGCTGCTGGGACGACGAGGGGATGCGGGGTCGCCAGGGGCAGGAGAGGATGGACGGACTGGCCCTCGAGCGCCGAGGACCCCACGCGGAGTCCAGTCTGGGCCCCACGGCCTGGGGTGAGCGGCACCCACGCTGACCCAGAGCCGCCCGTCGGGAAGGGGCCCGTGCCCAGCCGAGGCAGGTGTGTCTGTCACCCGCCACGCAGGCCCTGTGCCCCGGGGTCTCCGGGCACCGGGGAGAACCCAGGCAAGGGGACCCAGGGGCCCACATCTGAGGTGTGCCAGGTCAGGGGTCACAGGGGCGACCGGAGGCTCCGGTGAGCCGCGGGGCGCCCTGCCGGGGTGCGCGCTAAGGGCCCTGCTGGGCAGCAGGAGGAAGCTGCCGCCGGGTGTGCACACATGTGTTCTGGAAAATCCACAAAATGGAGAACCGAAAGTTGGCCCTTCTCCCAGGCAGCCTGGCCCATGGGCCATACCAAGCAGAAGGGGGGGCACATCCTGGAACGTACCATTGGCTTTCCCCCATCACCGCTCCTGCGTGGTCCAATCCCCCCAACCTCCCTCCACCCCCACCCCCAGTCTAGAGGCTGAAGGTGAGCCTTCCCAGGGCTCCGCGTGGAAAGAGGAGACAGCAGGGCTCGTGGGCCACAGAGGCCTGCCTTAGTTTATCCTTTCCGAGCAATGGGCAGGACCAGGGGAGAAAAGCAGTGTGAGTACTCCCGAAGGGCCGAGGCTATTCAAGCCAGACTGAGAAAGGCCACCACCTCAACCCAGGTCACCACTGTGCCCTGTGCATAGTGGGGAGAGGGGGCCGGGGACAAATCCTGAAGCTTTCAGAGGCCTTTCGGTCAGAGTGTGGCGTGGAAGTAGTATCGCACGCAGTATGTTCGAATCCTCAACTGTTGGCTCTGAGGTGCGGTTTTCCCTGGACTTTAAGGAGGGGAGACGGGGTTTGGGGGACATTCGGTAGCAAAGGCAGCGGAGCTGCGACCATGCAGCGTCTGGAGACACACTGCTCGCACTCAAGGGCCTCTTGAGCGATAAAGGCACCACTTCAGCAGGAGCGGGAGTGGACTCTGCCAGAAAGGGAGTTGGGGCAATCGATCTGGGGCTGCGGGAAAGCACACTGTTCGTACCCACCGCACTCCTTCCCCGAAGCACTTTCCAATTACACCAAAATTTTAAATATATATCTAAAAAAGAAACCATTACATTTCCAGAAAAACACATCCAATGTTTCTTCATCATGGAGTAGAGAAAATATTTCTGAGCCTGACACAAAATGAAGGAGCCATAAATGAAAAAAACTAGTAATGACTACTAATGATGTCAAATGCTTGGTCAAAATACAATGAATTTCTTAGAAATCAAAGGAAAAAAACGCAGTCTGAGTCAAAAACGAATGACAGATTGGGGTGAAAAAATTTTTTAATGTTTTTTACTTCTGAGAGGGAGAGAGAGAGAGAGACAGTGTGAGCAGGGGAGGGTCAGAGCAAGAGGGAGACACACAATCTGAAACAGGCTCCAGGCTCTGAGCTGTCAGCACAGAGCTCGACGTGGGGCTCGAACCCATAAACCGTGAGATCATGGCCTGAGCCGAAGTCAGACACTTAACCTACTGAGCCACCCAGGCGCCCCTGGGGTGAAAAATTTTTAACAGGAAATGGGCTAATTTCCTTCATATGTAAACTGTTCCTAGAAAACAACACCAACAACCCAGTGGAAAAATGGTTGAAGAATATGAAATAACACATGGCTTTTAAATATATACACGTTGGGGCGCCTGAGTGGGTCAGTCGGTTAAGCGTCCACCTTCGGCTCAAGTCATGATCTCACAATTTGTGAGTTCAAGCCCCACGTCGGGATCTGTGCTAACAGCTTGGAGCCTGGAGCCTGTTTCAGATTGTGTCTCTTTCTGCCTATGCCCCTCAACTCTCTATGCCTCTCTCTCTCAAGTAAACACTAAAGAAATTTAAAATAAACATACACATGTTTATAAGCATAGACTTTCCAGTTTTGAAGTGACTATTACTAGTGGTAGAAATAATCAGTGTATCAATGTAAAAATAAATCTGACCAAACCATTGAGATGTTTGATTATACGTCTAGGAAGCCCAAATAAAGCTACGATGAAATACTATTTTACGCCTACCAGATCTGCAAAATCAAGCATCAGCGATGGAGGACACTAGGCCCCTCCTTCTTTGGTGGGAGGCAATCTGGCATGACCTGTTGAGAGATCACACTGGCATTTAGAGACCTAGGAAAAGCCTGGCTCCCCTGCACTACAGGATTCAGCTTACAGAAATACTCCTGCTTGGGTACAAAGCCTTTTGTACAAGGATAATCAATCAATCTGGCATCGCTTGTTACAAAAAGATCAGAAAGAGCCTAAATTTCTACCCGATTATAGTACTAACACAATATGCTGCAGCAATTAGAACAAATGACCTAGATCTGTGTCAGAACACGGAGCATCCGAGCTGTGCCGAGTAAAAGGGTCCCACGTACAGCGAGCAGAGTTCTGTATGAACACATTAGATGACAAACATAGACTTTCTCTGCTGACACATAAGAAAGTGCCCCAGGAAAGGGGAGCAGGTCTTGGAGGTCAGGGGTGGGAGGATGCCGAGTTTTCACCCAACAGCCTTCCGAACTCCCAAGTTTTTTTACTGTGTATCTGAAAACATTTTTGTTCCAATTCTAAGCAAGTTGCTTTGAACTTGCTGCATCTGAGGCTCTCTGGCTCTCAGGCAGCCTGCACTCTGATGCTGTCCAAAGTCAACACGCTCTGGGACGGGAGCGGCCCCTCAGGGTGGGGGCGGGAGGGGCGGATGCACGTTGGGGAAGGAATGCTGTAGAGACGTCGGCCGCGCGGGGGTCGTCCCGGGGTCGTCCGCACGAGGCCGGGACGCAGCGGGCGCGCCCGTGCAACGGCCCCGTGGAGCGAAGGGCGGACGAGAGCGAGGCCCAGACACGCTACTGCAGCGAGCACACGTGTCACGTCCGGGTTTGCCCGTAAGCGTCCCGTCTTATGACAAGTGACACCAGGGTCCCCCGCGAGGGCCGGGCCCGGGCTGCACCGGCCGCGAGAGCGGCCGTGGGGGGGTCGCGCCGTCGGCGGCCGGTCACCCTGCCACAGGGGCAGCCTGCGAGCCGAGCGCCGGGGCCCGAGCCCCTCCGGCGCGGCCCCGCTCGGCGTCCGTTCCGCCCGCCCCGGACACGCCCGCCTTGCGCGTGGGGAGGGCGAGGCGCACGGGGGGACGCACGAGCCGGGCGAGCTGTCGGGGTCCCAGCCGCCGCCACTTACCACCGACGCCGCGAGCCCCTCCCGCGTCCGGCCGCCGCCGCCGCCCAGCGCGCGCGAACCCCGCCGCTTCCGTTTCCGCCCCGGCCACGCCCCTTCGGCGTCGTCCCCGCCCCCGGGCCGAAGCCCCTCCCCCTCTTAAAGAGGCCGCGGAACCCACGAAGACCCGGACTAGCGCAAGGCGGAAGCAGCTCTGGGTCCCGGCCCCGCCACCGCCTGGTGCCGCAACCACGCTGAGCCGCCAGGAAGGACAGGCCACTCGCCTCCGAGGGCCTTCTCGCTCTACGGTGGCAGAAGGCACTCCGGGAGCCGGTGATGAGCGGGGCTCTAGCTGAGATCCAGGGAGGCCCTTCCTGGCTCAGCCCTGCCTTTAACGGCACCCCAGGATGACAGAAGCAGCCCCATTTCCTGGGGAGCTCCTGGGCCTTCCAGGGTGGGCGCTCTTGGCTCTCTGTGCGGGGGCAGGGGTGCGTGGGGCGGAGGTATAGGGACGCCTAGAATAGGCGGGACAGGCAGGGCAGCCCTGCGGTCGCACCCTGTCTCCCAGACCTCAGCATGCTCTTCTACCACAGGGGAACGGAAGGAGACCTTACCCGGGCCCCAGAGCAGGCTGACCTCAGACTCACTGTTGCCGCCCCCAGGGCGGTCCTGGTACATTGGGGGGCCGTCACCCTCCTGGGGTGGAGAAGGCAGGCGAGGGCCCCGAGTTCAAATGCTGCCCTATCCCTCCATCACCACTCCAGCAACCAGTATCCTCAAGGGGTGCCTCGGCTGGGACTCAAAGCCCACCCCCTCTTCCACAGCGGCAGTGGCTTGACTTCCGCATTCGTGCGGAAAGGTCCTGGAAGTTTAGGGGCGAACTCAGCTCCCTCTTCCAATTCACCGAGCCCTAGGAGAGTACGCGCGAGCCACGAAAGGGAGAGGAATCCTAAAATTTTAAATCTTTAATTTGTTTTCATGTTTTTCCTTCTTTTTGCTTCCAAAAGGAAAGGAGAGCGTAGCTCCGTGCCTGTACATCGTCCACAGCCCCTAGGCTGGGGCACGTCCTGGCCCCTAACCCTCCAGCTGCCTCGGAGGTCGGGGTGCCCGGGGGGGGGGTTCACATGCAGCCCCCGGGCTGGGGCAGGGGCAAGGTCCAGGCGCTGCCTTATTGCTGAAGTCCCGGCGCAGCTCAGGGCCTGGCTAGGCGCGCTGGCTGGGCAGCTCCTGGGAGATGAAGCGGCGCAGGCGCTCCAAGTACTGGCTGTAGAGCTCGATGTCGTTGTGCCCAGCGCCCTCCACCCACAGTGGCTCCACGGCCTTGGGGCAGCGCTCATAGAGTGCCAGCCCATGGGAGAAGTCGATCACTTCGTCCTCCGTGCCGTGGATAATGAGCACCGGTGACGTGATCTTGGACACCTTCTCGATGCTGTAGGGCAGGGCACGTCAAGTCTGGGAGCAGCGCCCACCCCCGGCAAAGCCCCCCCCTCCCGTTCCCTCCTCCCCACCGTCTACCCCTCTCACTTGGGGAATGCATCGAAGCAGTAGGTCTTCTTGGTGTCAGGGAAGGCAACGCGCATGCCTGAGGTGAGCGGAGAGTGCAGCACCACGGCGGCGCACTCGTAGCGAGAGGCCAGGTCCACGGTGGGCACCGTGCCGATGCTCTGCCCATACAGGACGATGCTGTCGGGGCTGATGCCGTACCTGGCAGTGGGGCAGTGTCAGCCATGGCTGCTGACAAGTTCCTGGGGCAGTACCCACCCCATCTTCCCTCACAGCCTGCAGGCAGTAGGGCTGGGCCCCACCCCTGTCCCCGTTAGGGAACAAATCTGCTCTGCAGGGAGGCAGGGCCTTGGGTAGGTGTGACAGCTGGCCCTCACCCTGCTTCACCAACAGTACCAATTAGGATCACGCATGCCCAGTGCGCCTGGTGAGAGCCCCAAGGCCCCGCTTGGGCTCCTGGGGGCAGGGCAGGCCCTGAGGCCTCTTCTGCTCTCCTCCCCACAACCTCCCACACACAAAATTGCCCAGGGACACACCCAGTTCCCCACAGGGGACCAGTCTTCCCCGGGGCATCCCTCACCCATCCCCTCAGCCATGAGAAATCAGGGCAGTCGCGTCCCCTGATTTATTAGCTGTTTTGCAGCCCCCTGGCGTTGGGCATGTCCACCCTATCACAGTGCAGGCGGGGCAGGAACAGAGGCTGCTGCGCACCACCTCCTTCCCTGGGCACCTTCTCTAAGGCACAACCTGGTCCTGAGCCTCCGCAGCACCAACCCCCATGTCCAGGCCCCAGCCCCTCCCCCACCCTGCCACCACCCCCAATGCCTCCCTGAGCCTCACCCTCTACCCCCAGGACAGCTGATCCAGCCTCAAGCCAGCTCCACAGCCTCCAAATGCCCATTCCCATCTGTCTGGGGACCCACGAGCCACGCTCCCCACATAGGAGGCCTCCATGATTCTCTGCCCACAGACCTGGACCCTGATATACCAAGGGGACACCCCGCTGCGTCTCACCTGTGCAACCCACCCGGCAGCAAGCCTCCACCTCCCCGTGCACCCAGGGGCCACCTGCACACTCCAGGTTAACAACGCCTGGCCCCGGCTTCAGGGACACCACCTGGCCTCCTGCCTGCCGCCCGGGCAGCCCCTCCTCAGCCTGCTCCCAGGACACGAAGCCACCGCTGTGCTGAGCACTGGTCAGTCCAGCCCTAACACTCACACACAAACAAGAGGCAGACGGAGCAGCGAATCTTCCCCAGCCTCCCCGATCCCTGTCATCAGGTGGGTCCAAGCCTCCTGCCTGCCTACGGACTCTGCCCCTGCGGGGTCAGGTCTTTGGGGGACAGTGCTGGCCGCAGGACAGATGGGCTAGATGGACAAAGCGCAGACCCCTCACCCCGCAACGCGGTGTGATTCTGCCGGCCACCACCGGCCAACGGGAGCAGCACAAGGGACTGAGGAAGCCGAGGGCAGCACGTACCTGCACCACACAGCCCAGGCTGGGTCCCCAGTGCCAGGGTGGTGCCAGGGGACCCCACCCCTGGGGCCCACAGCAGGGACTGCCTGGTGCATCGCTTGGGCAACCAGGGTCCCCACCTCCCCAAGCCCAGCTGACTTTGGTCCCTGCAGGAAGTGGGGAGGCGGGGAAGGTCGAGCAGGCAGGACTGAGATGGAGCACCCCCAAGAAGCCAGTGGACAAGGCACCGTGTCCAGGAGGGTCAGAGTCAGGGTGGCCTCCTTCCAAAGCACTCTCTGGGCGCAGAGACCAAGCAAGTATGCTTCAGTGAGAGAGAAGGGGGCTGTCCGGGATCTAAATAAGCAGGATGGGGGGGGGGTGTCCGGGGACAGGGGCTTGGCCAAGGCCTTAGTAAACCCTGAGCCAAGCACACAGGTGTGTGCCTCTGCTTGCTAGCCTCCCACTGGCCCCCAAGGCTGTGCTGAACATCGAGCTGCCTGACAGATCCTTCTGGAACCCTTCAGAACCCTCCAGGCCCAGAGGAGCCCTGCCCCCAGGAGGAGACCACAGTCAATGGCTACGCATGCCTCATGGGTCAGCCCCCGAGGACCATGACAGAGCAGCCCCACTCCTTCCTGCACCTCAAGTACTCACTAGGCCCAGGTCTCTGAGTCTTTCCTTACAGCGCTCACAGCCCACCTCCCGGGCCCAGGTCCTCCATCCACCCCCTCCAGGCGGAGCCCCCACTGCCCTAGGAACAGTCCATCTATGCCCCTTCGGGACAAGCGGCTCCCAGGAGGGGAGGGGAGACCTGAAGACAGCCTGCCCCACCTCCCCGCACATGAGCACGCCTGTCACCACACCAAGGGGACACAGGCCAGACCTCACTCTGCTGCCTGCTGATGGCTCCCCTCCCCCCGAGGGCCACCCACAAGACTTCCCCCAGGAGGCGGGCCTGAGTCCCTGGGTGCTCAACCGCTGCCCCACACACAGCTCACCTGGTGCGCAGCGCCTGCCAGGCGGCGTCGATGTCGGCGTAGAGGTTCTTCTCCGAGGGCTTCCCCGAACTCACGCCGTAGCCCGAGTAGTCGTAGGAGAAGATGTTGCAGCTGATGCGCGTGCCCAGGCCGATGTAGAAACTGCTCATCTGGCCCAGGTCCACCGCATTGCCGTGCGAGAAGAGAACCGTGTACCTGGGGGGAGGGGCGGAGGGCAGGTCAGAGGGTGAGGGAGGCTCCCCAGCCACGCCATGGACAAGGGTGCTAGTGCAGGAGAGAGGTGGCTGCCGCTGCAAAGTGGCCTGGCTCCTCTGGCTGTGTGCGCTTGGGCAGGGGCAGGGGACAGCCAGCGGGGCCCTCAGCACCCCCTCTGTGAAAGGGGACCACTGGTCAGGGTCTCAGCACAGGGGGGCCCGCAGCGCAGCGAGTCCCAGTGACCACCGCACGCATCCCTGCGGGAAAGAGCTCTCCCTTCTGGAATCGTTTCTTTTAGAGGGACTCTGACAACCCAAGGATGGCACGCACATGTGCCCACTGCCTGGAACCTTCTGGAGAATGAAACAGCCGCTGCTCCTAGACAGTTGGCCCCCACCCTTGCCCCCACGAATGAACCAGCCCAATCCCCGTCCCCAGCATCTCTTCCCCCTCCTACAAAGCACGACTCCAAAACTCACTCCCGCCCTGCACTGCTGCTGGCCATCCGGGCCTGGCCTACATCGCCCCGACAGGCTGGATCCTGGCCCGGGCACTCCCTGTCTTCTCCCTCCGCCCTGGGCCCCAGCCCAGGTAAAAGGTAAAGGCTTGCCCTTTGAACCGGGATCTGAACCCAGACCCCGTCTGTCTAAAGGCAGAGACGCTTGGAGGCCCCACCTCTTTCCCGCTACTGTACTCCAGGAAGAGAGGCTTCTAGGCCTCAAGGTCAGTGTTAACGAGGAGGCGGACTTGGCCTGAGCCACCTCCCAGGTCTCAAGTGCCCTGGCCCCGAGGCGGATGCCAAGGCCTCACTGAGCACCCAGAAGCCCTTCCCTGGGCAGGTGAGCACAGAGACCCTGAAGCGGGCGGCTCCTCAGGCAGGTGAGACAGGGCCACCCAGACCGGCCCTGAGCCCCAGGGCCCTCCTCGCGACAGGCTGCACAGGGCAGGGCGCCCGGCAGGAAGGCCCAGGCGGTCCTGCGCAGCCTGCTCTTCGTGGAGCCCATCCGCCGCCCCTTTGGCCACAAGAATCCCCAGGGCCCCTATTGCCGAGAGGACCACCTCCGGTGCGGTCTGCCCCTCCCGCCCCTCTGGCCGTGGTCGGGCCGGTCGGGCCAGGAGACTCACCTGGCGCTGGGCACGCAGCGCACATACATGCAGGCGATGCGGTTGCCGCGGCTGCTCTTGGTCAGGAAGACCTCGATGGTGTCCAGCTCGCGTTGGCTGTACTGGAAATCAGCGCGCTCCGTCAGCTGCAGCTTCCAGCGGCCCGGGCTGCTGGCCGAGCCCCGCAGGGGCCCTGAGGGGGCGGCCCCGGCCCCACCAGGCCCCGGCTCGGGCTCGGGCACCAGCGAGTAGGTGGGCTCCGGCGGCAGGAAGGCGAGCTTGGCGGCGATGCGGCCGGGGCAGGGCGGGCAGCAGAAAAGGCAGCACAGCTCGCTCACCGACAGGCCGTTCATGGCGGGCGCCGGGCCCCCGGGCGGGCCTCGCTTGCCAGGGGAGGGGTGGGGGTGCTCTGAGACGCGGGCAGGGGGGAGGGCAGCCCCCAGCCGCCGCCCCAGACGAGAGCCCCCTTAGGAGGCCGCAGCCCAGCCCCATCGTGGTCCAAGCTGAGCCCTGGGGAGCCTTGCAGCCTTGCTTCTCCACGTCCTGCAGAGGGAAACCCTGGGGGGAGGGGGAAGCGAGAGGTGGGGTTCCCTTGGGGCTCTGCTGGGAGGCAGTGACCCAATCTCGTCTGCACCAAGCCTCCTGGCCTTCCCCGCGGCCCAGTCCACCCTCTCCCACCCAGGCTGGTCCACCCTCCGCCCCTGGACCCATGGGCCCAGCTCAACATCCAGGTACTTCCCATGTGCCCTTTGTGCGACCCAAAGCCGACCGGACCACCTGCTGCACCCTTTCTCGGCACGCAGCCACCAACTCTTGCCATGTAAGGACCACCCCCCCGCCAGCCCAGCCTCGGCCAGCGGGCTGTACCAGGCAACCAGACCCCTGGCTCACGCCGGCTCTCCCTACGCGGCCCCAGCTCTGGGCCCAGAGACCCTGGCACTCTCCCGACGCCTCTGTTCACACAGCTGGCCCAGACTCTCCCCCCAGCCCATCTCCATGCCACGCCTCAAGGATTCATCTGCCACCCCTGGGTGACACATCCCAGCCAAGGCAAGGACAGGCTGCCCACTGGAGGGACCCGGCCCGGCTCACAGGGGCCCAGCCTGGAGGAGGGGCAGGACACGGAGCCCAGGCAGAGGAAATACAACAAACAAAGGCTCTGGTAACAAAAGCAGGATACATCTAGAGGCTGGGAAGGCCTCCTGAGCTGGGACAATGGCTCGGCCCTGTGCTTGGGGCCAGGCTGCGGGGGAGGGGGGGGCAGCGCCCGAGCCTGAAGGGCTTCGTTCTCCAGCCCAGCCAGGGCTCTGTGACCTTGGGCAAGGCTCCTTCCTTCCCTGGGCCTCAGTTTCCTCACCTAGGAGGGAAGGCACCAGTCGCCTCCCACAGGAACTTAGAGAGATCGAGGTGGTGCACAGGGCCTGGGGCTCAAACTACAGGTAATCTCCAACACTCCCTCAGGGAGCTGCCAACGGAGAGAAAAGAAATACAAAGCCTTGAAAAAAGTCTAACCACTTAAAAGGCTTTTCCTTAGACCGGAATGCTCACAAGTCACTGTTAGCCCAACACCTTGGCACATGCACTTTTGGGGCCATAACATTTGGAAACCACTGGGCCGGGGACACACAGATTGAGAGTAGACCAGAGCAGCCTGAGGCCCAGAGACACACCTGGTGCCAAGGTCAGGAGAGAGCCACAGCCCAGAGTCTGGCACACAGCAGGCAGTGGGAAGGAGCTGTGAAGGCGCGGGTGGGGACACCAGGCGGCTTCCAGGGTCCCTAAACTCACGGGTGAGAGGGACACTTTACGTGCAAGCGTCTTTCAGAGGAAAGAGTCTATTGTACTTGTTTCCTGCGCAGGAGTTTGCCCCCCAGGATGCCTGCCAACTCAGGGGGCCATTGGGAGTTGTGACAAGTGGGGAAGGGAGTTCCCAACCCTGAGTGGTTGGGGGCCAGGGATGCTGATGGACGCTCTGCAGGGACAGGATGTCCTCCCCCTTCACCCAAAAGCGAGTTACCCCAAGTATCTACCAGTCAACCCACCCCAGGCTGCTTCAACCTATTCTCAAAGATCCAGGCCCAAAGCACGACACCGCCCTGGTGCTGGGAAGCTGAACGGGTCTCGAGTTGGGGGCAGCACAGTGCAGATGGCTTCTGAGACGAAGGCCTGGCTGAGAGCCTGTGGGCAGGCAGGAGCACCCCAGGAAGTGAAGGGGCACACCACTGCCCCAGCCAGAGACACAGAATGCCATCCTTAACTGCCCCCCTGCCGGGGCCTGATGGGTCTCCGTCCAAACGACACCAGGGTCCCACGCATCCATCACCTCCCGCCTGGCCGGCTGCGGTCCTGTTCACTGCCCGGCCGCGCTCTCCCCCAGCGGCCACGAAATCTCTCTCCAGGCACAAACCTAAGGAAGCACACCTTTTTTCTGGATGCCTTCTGGCCTCCTGCTATTTCCAAGCTAGAAACTGAAGCCTTGCCGTGGCCTGCCAGGCCCACCTCCGCCGTCTCGCTACCCTCTGGCTCCCCCAGACCACTGCCCAGTCAGGGACCCCCTCCCCTTTGCTCCCGGTCCTGCCCCCACTTCAGATCAAGCTTCCAGCGCCCCTGGAGAGGCCTTCCAAACGAGGGGAAGATGCGGCCGCGCGCTCTCCTGGCTCCAGTCTGTGTCCACAGCAACTGCCACAGCTCGCATTTACCCGTCTGACACCCCCCCCGGCCCCCCACCAGCAATCAAAGAGAAACTCCGTGAGGGCAGGACAGCTAAGTGTTCTTATCTAGGGAACCCTGACTGAGTGAGCGAGTAACAACACGTAGAGAGAGAAGACAAGCTACAGTCTGCTGGCTCTAACAGGGAAGGTGGACACTCTTAGGCCAGGAACGCCTGGGCCTCCCGTGCGTCATTTATGAGTGTCCCTGAGCGTGCCTGAGAGCGGGCAATTCTGTCCCCGAGCGCGGACTGGGCACTCTGCCGCCAGGCCCCGTAAGGGCTGCTGGCGTTCCCAGCACCAATGAGGAAACCAAGAACCACGATACTCAAGGATGACCTAAATACGCACGGCCTGGCAGCACCTCACCCGGCCAGCAGCGGTGGGAAAGCAGCCTGGAGCAAGGTGCAGTCTGAGAGGTGCACAGAAAGTGGCTGGGGGACAGGGAACAGGGCACCGCGAAACCCCAGAGGTTGACAGCGAGTTCCAGGAACTGCAGATCTCTCTGTCGGGCGGACGCTGGAAGGAGGCGAGGGAGGGGTCCCAGAGGGAGCCAGGGCTGGGTCAGGCCGCGCCTGTGAGCCCTGCTGCAGAGTTTGGACTTCATCCTGGAGGAAACGGGGAGTCCTGGAGGAGCCTTGGGCCGAGCATGGACGGACACCACGGGTTAGGGGCTGCGGTATGTCCCCTGGCTGCAACCTGGAGATCAAACAGGGAAGCCTACCCTGGTGTCCCAGGCGCCCGGAGGACGCCGGCGAAGGAATGGAGGCGTCGGGAGACGTTTAGGAAGCGGAGTTCCGCTAAGTGATGCGGCAGGCGCGGGTGTCGGGCTGGGGCGGGAGCCTGGGTAAAGTCCGCGACTCGGACGGCGATCGCCCGGAGGCGGGGGCCGCGTCACCGGGGGGTGGGCGCTCACCCCACATCCGAGACCTCCAAGGACCGGGAGAGGGCTCTACCGGGGCCGCAACGCCGGCCCCGCGGTCCCCCGGCCCCTGGTCGGCAGGTCCTACAGCCGGGACCACGGCCTCCCCAGGAGTGAGAGGTTTCGGGGGCGTCCCACCTGGCTGTCCCGGCCTCGCGGGCAGGCCCAGCTCCCCAAACGGCCGCGGGTGGCACCGAGGTCTCCCCGCGCCGCCGCGCCCGCCCCTGCTCGGCACTCACCGCCGCGGCCCGCGCCCCCCGGCCCCGGGGCCGCACTCCATGGCTCCCGGCCGCCCGCCCGTGCGTCCGTCGGTCCCTCCGCGCCCGGGCCCGGCCTCCCGCGCCGCTGCCGCCGTCGCCGCTCCCCCACGGACGGAAACGAGCCTCGATCCCGCCACCGCCCCGGAAGTGACGCGAGGCACGCGCGGGGGCCGAGCGGCTGCGGACAGGCGCTGGCGCTGCGTGCGTCCGAGGACCGGGGGGCGGGCTTGGGGCGGGGCGAGCGTGGGGTGGGCGTGGCCAGGCTCTGGTTGGCGGAGCCGGGCTTGAGGGCGGGCCCGGTTCTCCGGTGGGGCGGGGCATCGCGGGGTGGGCGGGTTCGGCTCCTGTGGGCGGGCCTGGCAGGGTGCGCGGGGCGGGGCTAAGGCTTGCAGACCTGGTTTTCCGCAGAGACACAGCCATTCATTCGTTCTTTCACTCATTCCCGGGTCAGGAGTAGAGTGAGGCGAGTGAGACACGGGCTTCGGAACCGACGTTTACAGAGGCGCCATAAAACTGTGTAATCAAGATAAAAATTGTAGTGCAGTATCAAAAAATCAAATTTTCCTGGAGCCAAGGCCCTGACAGTGTGAGGACAGCGAGGCAAGGTCGTGCAAGTGCAGCGTCTGCTCTTACCGTGTTAAAAATCTTAATGTCTTGCCCATCGTAGATTATTTTGCATTAGTTTCAGCTTTTTATTTTTACATTGTTTTAAGTATATTTATTTATTTCGAAAGAGAGAGAGAGTGAGCACAAGCAGGGGAGGGACAGAGAGAGAGAATCCTAAGCAGGCTCTGAGCTGTCAGCAGGTAGCCTGACGCGGGGCTCGAACCCACGAACCGTGAGATCATGACCCGAGCCCAAGCCGGACGCTCAACCGACTGAGCCCCCCAGGTGCCCCTCGTTTCAGCTTTTAAAATATTAGATTAAAATACTCTGGGGCACCTGGGGGGCTCAGTCGGTTGAGCGTCCGGCTTGGGCTCGGGTCATGATCTCACGGTTCGTGGGTTCGAGCCCCGCGTAAGGCTCTGTGCTGACAGCTCAGAGCCGGGAGCCTGCTCTAGATTCTGTGTCTCCCTCTCTCTTTGCCCCTCCCACGCTCACACTCTGTCTCTCTCTGTCCAAAAATAAATTAATGTTAAAAGAAATTTTTTTTAAATACTATGAATCTTGGGGCACCCGGCTGACTCAGTCAGCGGGGCATTTGACTTTAAATCTCAGGGTCGTGAGTTCAAGCCCCACCTTGCACATCAAGCCTACTGTAAAGAAAGAAAGGCACTTGATAAACTACAGGAGCCTTTGTAGCTGAGCTTTTTCTTTGTGTCCCTTAACTTTGTGCCTTCAGGGAGGGCTTCCTGCTCCAATCTCAGCTCACACTGCAGGGAGGGGAGCAGAACAGTAAACAGGGAAGGAACAGGAGCGGGATAACGATGAGGGTTGGGAGCCAAATGGGGACCGAGGCGGAAGTTTACTGATGAGCCTTTGTTGAGAGGGTGATCAGACCCAGCCTTCAGGAGAGGTGACAGGGACAGAGGCAGAGTCTGCAGAGGCCGACAGGCCCAGCCTGGGGGCAGGATTGTGAATTAGTCGGACAGCCTTGCCCTTCCAGGCCTCAGCTCTGCTGCCTGCGTGCCTTTTCCAGCTCAGAAATGCTCCCACCCCAAGCTCCAGCTCCCTCTAATCTTCAGTTTTGTTTACAGAGATAAGCCTGAAGCCCTGGGCTGTGCAGCCAGCCCTCCCCCAGGGCCCCAGACCTCCGAACAGAGACCAGGAGAGGACCTGGGCTCAGGGTCGGGCGGCCCAGGGCTGGCTTCCAGCGGTTTCCTCTGGCCTCCTTCCCCAGCTGTGCGCCAGGAGGCTGCCGGGGGGGGGGGGGGGGGGCTCCAGAGCGCCCCTGCCCCGCTCCCTGCCTCAGGCTCTAGTGCCTCTCAACTCCAAAGGTCACAACCATGCCACGTTCCTTGATGTCCTCGTGACTTCCTGGAGCAGGAACAGGGCTGTCCACAGCCTCCTCCAGCCCTCCTTCCTCTCCTCTCCCTCCCCCTCTGGGCTGCGCCAATGTGCCCTAAGGAGAATGCTGGCAGCTACCGGTGAAAAGGGGGGTGGGCATAGGAGGCGGAGATGAGGCTCGATTCCCACCCAGACGAGGTCTGCTGAGCTCACTGGGCTTCCCGCACTGACCAGAGCAAACTCTGCAAAGATACAACCACTGCTGTAAAACTCTCGATGTTTCAAGACAGTCACTTCCCAAAGGTGCCGGGAGGTGCAGCCGCTAGCCCATTTTCTTCCTACCCCTTCAGCCCTTGCTCCATCCACCCAGCATGCTGGCTTTCCCAAATGTGTTCCTGCCTCAGGGCCTTTGCACCAGCTGTGCCTCCTGCTGGCTGTGCCCCGTCCCTAGATAGCCCCACGGCCAACCCTTTCTCATCTTCAGGCCTTGCTCACACCTCACCTCCTCCGAGAGCCCTCCCTGACCACCTCCAGCCAGAGTCCTTACCACATGCACCCCTATCCCATTGCCCCATTTAGTTCCATCATAGAATTTACCATTTCTGATCTTTTTTTTAAGTTTATTTATTTGGAGAGAGAGAGAAGCACCCCGACCACTTGTCACTTTGGGGAGTTGTTTCCTTGTTTATTACCTGTCTTCCCCACATCCCGTGAGCTCCTTAGGGCAACGATGAGGTTCTCGTCCACCATGTCCCCAACTGTCCCCCATGATGTCTGACAAATGGACGCATGACACATGGGGCAAGGATGATCCCCACCCGCAGGACCACTTTTGGGGTGGCGGATGGAGGCTCCATGAGCATTTGAGCAGCACCCGGCATAGCTCTCAAATGGTCTTGACCCTGGGCTTCTTCCCTCCTCTACTGACCTGACACACTCTGCCCGGGTCACAGGGGTCACCCCTCCCCCCCGAATTCCAACCACGTGCAGTCCCACAAAGAACCTTAAATTTAAATGAATTGATTAAAAGTAAATAAAATTTGGGGTGTCTGGGTGGCTCAGTTGGTTGAGCCTCTGACCCTTTTTTTTTTATGTTTTATTTATTTCTGAGAGAGAGAGAGACAGCGTGAGCAGGGGAGGGTCAGAGAGAGAGGGAGACACAGAATCAGAAACAGACTCCAGGCTCTGAGCTGTCAGCACAGAGCCCGACGAATCCACAAACCATGAGATCATGACCCGAGCTGAAGCTGGAGGCTTATCTGACTGAGCCACCGAGACGCCTCAAGCCTCTGACTCTTGATTTCAGCTCAGGTCATGATCTCACAGTTCGTGGGATTGAGCCCCACATTGGGCTCTGACAGTCTGCTTGGGATTCTCCGTCTCCCTCTGTTTCTGCCCCTCCTCTGTTCATGCACCCGAGAGCACACACTCTGTCTGTCTCTCAAAAATAAAAATTAAACATTAAAAAAAGTAGATTGGGGCGCCTGGGTGGCTTAGTCGGCTAAGCGTCCGACTTTCGCTTAGGTCATGATCTCGCGGTTCATGGGTTCCAGCCCCGCGTCGGGCTCTGTGCTGACTGCCAGCTCGGAGCCTGGAGCCTGTTTCAGAGTCTGTGTCTCCCTCTCTCTCTGACCCTCCCCTGCTCCCACTGTCTCTCTCTCTCTCTCCTAGAAATAAATAAAAATATTAAAAAAAAAAAAAAAGTAGATAAAGGGGCACCTGGGTGGCTCAGCCAGTTAAGCCTCCAACTTCAGTCCAGGTCATGATCTCACAGTTCATGAGTTCAAGCCCCACGTTGGGCTCTGTGCTGATGGCTCAGAGCCTGCAGCTGCTTCGGATTCTGTGTCTCCCTCTCTCTCTGCCCCTCCCCCACTCACACTCAGTCTCTCTCAAAATAGACATTTAAAAAAATTCTTTTAAAAAGTAGGGGCGCCTGGGTGGCTTAGTCGGTTAAGCGTCCGACTTTCGCTTAGGTCATGATCTCGCGGTTCGTGGGTTCGAGCCCCGCGTCGGGCTCTGTGCTGACTGCCAGCTCAGAGCCTGGAGCCTATTTCAGAGTCTGTATCTCCCTCTCTCTCTGACCCTCCCCTGGTCACGCTGCCTCTCTCTCTCTCTCTCCTAGAAATAAATTAAAAAAGAAACACTAAAATTAAAAAAAATTGATAAAAGCCTTTAAACACACATAGTAGCTTTTGACGAACACCGCTCGCGTGGTCACGTCTGGCCTGGCCCAGCGGCCGCCCCCCCTGCGCCCAGGCCGGCCCCCCACTCGCATCGTCCGCCCCCTCCTGATGCACACGTGCGTTGGTGCCAGGGCACTTCACGCTGGCGGGCAGGGACCACAGGTTCCCGCAGGCAGAGGGCTGTAAGGAGAAGGTCCACGTGCCGCGTCCAGGAAACAAAGAACCCATAGGCCCCCCTGGGAAAACCCCGCCACCGTGAGAATGGACAGCAGAATGGGTTGCTGGTGGCTGCTGTCTGTTCTGCACGCTTTGCTGTGTCTTGTGAGTTTGTTCGGGGCTCGCTTGGCAGAGGGTGTGTCTCACCGCTGTGACCAGGCAGGGGCTGAAGTAAAATGAAATGCCTTAAAGGGGACTGGCTGTTAAAAATTAATGTTTATGCTTCTTGGCATTTGCCCAAGAGCGAGAGCAGGGACTTGACCAGTGCATGCACCTGCCGGGGAAGTCAGGACGACCCGCCACCCGCCACCACGTGGATGGACCCGGAGGACTCCGTGCGCAGTGACAGAAGCCAGACACGGAAGGACACGTCCTGCGTGACCCCACTCCCAGGGGTCCCCAGAGGCGTCCCGTCCACAGAGACAGAGAGTAGATGGTGGGAGCAGGGGGTGGGGAGGAGGGAGGAGTCTGTGCTTCATGGGGACAGAGTCTCAGTCTGGGGAGATGGAAGGTTCTGGAGACGGACGGTGGGGGCGGCTGCACGACAGTGTGCATGTGCTCGGCGCCGCTGAGCTGTGCGCTTGCTTGGAAATGGTTCAGAT